CGGAGAAGTGGTGCCTCGATGCGCACCCGGGATCCGAACCCGGGCCACCAGCATCGCAGCGCGCGCACTTAACCACCAAGCCACAGGGCTGGCCCCATATATATATTCTTAATTTTAAAAAAAATTAATGGTGGTATACTGAAATCATTCTATATCTTAACATAAAGAGCATCATCTTTCTTTATTTTACCATTGAATAGAATTGCATTATATGGTTGTGCTATAATTTACTTAACTAAGCATTTATGTTATTTCTGTTCTTTTTCTGTGTATAAGAAGTGCTGTCTTAAATAACTTTGTACATACATCACCTCTCATTCTTCTACTTAGTCATTCAACACATGGTTATTGAGTACCTACTATGTAGCAGGCATGTCCTGGGAATACGGTAGTGAACAAAACAAATTCATCCTTGCCCCCTTGTAGCTTACGTACTCAAGTATATCTGCAGGAAATATTCCTGGAAGTGAAATTTCTAGGTTATAGGGTATGAACATTGGTAGATATTGTCAGATTATCCCTCCATAAATGTCATGCCAATTTTTAATTCTACTAGCAATTATTAGAGTGTTTTTTGCTCTTTGCCTAAAAGGTAAAAGATTAAAAATTGATATTAAACTTAATTGAATTTCTTTTAAATAATCGATTAAGATTATAGATTAAATAATGTATAATGCAGTAGTTAAAATCAAATTCAGCTATCAGAAAACTTTTCGCTAAATTAAAGCCATAGCCTATTCTAAAATATCTGCACAGTGGGTTTGTCATTTCATTTTTCTTGTTTCCTGATCTCCTAGGAGTAGAGCAGTACTTATTTTGATGCCTTGCTATGTTAAGAAAATTTTATGAGACCTGAAAAGAAAGAAAACCTCAGACTACCTAAGGTTATAAGATTGATTCTCCCCACCTTCCCCTCTTTCTCATAGCTCGGGACCTGATTACTTCTTCCACTGTGATTCAAACCAGAGCAGACGAGCTTTCTTGATATGGTTTACTTTACTTTATGTGAATAACACATAGATTTTACGTTCTTGCAACCTGGTACCTTTCCCTCAAATATTGTGTCTTTTTATTCTCTAAGCCTGTTCTGTCCAGTCTGCTAGCCATTAGCCACCTGTGGCTATTTAAATTGAGGTTAATTGAAATTAAATAAAACCAAAAATTCAGTTTCTCAGTCACGTTAGCCACAATTCAAGGTGCTCAATTGCCATGTGTTGCTGGTAGCTATCACATTGGACAGTGGAGGTCTAGGACATATCCATCGTTGCAAAATGTTCTGGAAAGTGTTGATCTAGAGGCCTCATCTCCTGGGTTCTGGATAGTGTTGATCTAGAGGCCTCATCTCCTGGAGATGAGTTGGGTTGGTGAGTTAGCTTTCCTGTTTAGGATGTTAGACTATTTCATAACTCATTCTTGAATTTTCCTTCTACTTCGTTAGTGTTGATTTAAGTGTTGGACCCTTTTCATACTTGGTTATCGTGGGCGACCAGGGTTATTTATTATTTCTTTCTATTTTGGGTACATTTCCTTCTTTCTTTACACTCTTTGGCTTATTCATAGTTTCCTGTATTTATCCTTCTTTGTGCTTCTACTATGGAAACACAATCTTTATTTTTTTATTATTACTTTTTGTTTTTGCTGAGGAAGATTCCCCCTGAGCTAACATCTGTCGCCAATCTTTTCTGTTTTGTGTGTGGGTTGCCACCACAGCATGGCTGACGAGTGGTGTAGGCCCGAACTGAACCCGGGCCACCGAAGTGGAGCGTGCCAAACTTAACCACTAGGCCACTGGACTGGCCCCTGGAAACACTTTTTTTTTTTTTTTTGTGAAGAGGATTAGCCCTGAGCTAACATCTGTTGCCAATCCTCTTTTTTCTGAGGAAGATTGGCCCTGGGCTAACATCCGTACCCACCTTCCTCTACTTTCTGTGGGACACTGCCACAGCATGGCTTGACAAGCGGTGCATCAGTGTGCGCCCAGGATCTGAACCTGTGAACCCTGGGCCGCCAAAGTGGAGCGTGCGCACTTAACTGCTGTGCCACTGGGCTGGCCCCCTGGAAACACATATTTTAAAAACAGATATATACTTAATAGAAAACAAACCTTTCTTTATTGATACTCTTCTACTTATTAAATCATTAAAAGATTAAAGAGATGCTATAGTTAACCTTCCTTTATATTATAGTTGTTTTTAAAAATATTAACTCTCTTCTTTTGAGAATTCATTCAGCAAATTTGTTGAACTCTTTATGACTAGATACTGTTCTAAGCACTGGGGAATTGTTGATGAATAAGACATTTCTGTCCTCCTGGAATTTATATTCATCATTATTGACTTACAGCCTTTCACAAACTCAAGTTACTCTAATTAATTATAAAATTTCCTTTTTGATAATCAAGTGGTCCCAACTTGTCCTTTAGCATTGCCATTGCCCTTGAATTTTTGAAAGTATCCGTGCTTTCTGTAACAACTGGTTATTTCAGACCACCTGGTTTTTTCTTCTTTTTTTTTCCCCCTGAAACCTACCCCAGATCTGAATTAGCCATCCTCCAAGGAGCCCTATTCCTTTTATTCTACCATTAGGGATTCACCTGAAGATTGGCAGTAGACCTCCGTGCTCTCCTTGCTATTGGGTCCTGTCCCAGTGGCAGAGCTGGGGAAGGGCAGTGTCTCTTTGAAATCATGAGTTCACATTGATTTTTCTCTTAATCATGTAACTTTATTCTGATTTTCTTAGAGTGAGGTTTCATTGACAACTTACACATGGATGTTCAGTCAGATCTTTGCTGCACTACAGACCTGTGTATCTGTTTCTTCGTTCAGCCGATATTTGAGGGCCCAGGATTGTGAGGTGCTGTCTAGTGAGGTGGCCAGCTCTATTTGAGAGTTTCAAACTTAACTTATCCTGTACCTACTAACTCTGCCTTTCCTTTTGACTTTTTACCCATTCACTTGGTATAAAAATCTGGACCTCTTTCAATCCCATCAGACAGTAAGTTCTTTTGACTTTATCTCCGTCATATCTTTTCTGTCCTGACCTTTCTCTTCCCCCCCAACTCCTTCCATGTCTAACTTGTGTCTTTGTTCTTCATTTGTCTCTTAGCTTCATTTCTGTCTCTCCTTCTTTCCTGTCCACTTCTGTCCTCCTCTTGCTGTCAGAGTGATCTTTTGACATAAAACTTGATGTTCTTCTCCTGTTCAAAATCCTTCAGTTGGCTTCCTCCTGGAATAAAATGCAAACTCTTTCACATGCCATACAAGACCCTTCATAGTGATGTTCCTTCCTCCCTTCCAAGTCTTGCGCTTTTCCCCTGGATAGATCCTTTCCTCAGCCTTTCTTTCCCATCTCTGCATTCGTATGTTGTATTTTCTCTGTCTCACAGTAACCTTTCTCTTTCTGCTTATTTGTCTGATGTATTGGTCTTTTAGTGAAAACCTGCTTCAATAAGCTTATCTTTGATTATGTTTCCCATACCTTTAAGATTGGACAGCTTCTATTCCTCCAGTTACTAATACTTGCAATCTCTAGTAGTTATTTTAAACCCTATTTCCTAGCCTTTTGTGACCATGCAAATGAATATTTGTCACTCCCTCTATTACTCTGACCCCAATAAACTTTCATTCCCGTTAGGACTTTCAAATCCATTGATCCTACTCACCTGACCCTATGTTCTTTTTTTTTTTTTTTTTTAAGAGTATTTTTATTTTATTTATTTATTTATTTTTTTGTGAAGAAGATCAGCCCTGAGCTAACATCCCATGCTAATCCTCCTCTGTTTGCTGACGAAGACCGGCTCTGAGCTAACATCTGTTGCCCATCCTCCTCCTTTTTTTTCCCCTCAAAGTCCCAGCAGATAGTTGCACGTCATAGTTGCACATCCTTCTAGTTGCTGTATGTGGGACGCGGCCTCAGCATGGCCGGAGAAGCGGTGTGTTGGTGCGCGCCCGGGATCCAAACCTGGGCCGCCAGTAGCGGAGTGCAAGCACTTAACCGCTAAGCCACGGGGCCGGCCCTGACCCTATGTTCTTGAACCCCAGAGTCAATCGCTATAATCATTACTTTAAATATGTTCTTTACTCCTCTTTCTCAAGTCATCAGATTTTGTTTGGCAAAACTACAACCGTGCGTTTCCTGCCTGCTCCATCTCTGTGCCCATAATGCTTAATTTAGCTGGAAGAAAAATTTCACAGGGAACAGGCTCACTCTAAAGTCATGAGCAGGGGGCTGGCCCCGTGGCGTAGCGGTTAAGAGCGCGTGCTCCGCTCCTGGTGGCCTGGGTTTGGATCCCAGGCGCGTACCAACACACTGCTTGTCAAGCCATGCTGTGGCGGAGTCCCACATAAAGTGGAGGAAGATGGGCACAGATGTTAGCTCAGGGCCAGTCTTCCTCGGCAAAAAGAGGAGGATTGACATGGATGTTAGCTCAGGGCTGATCTTCCTCACGAAAAAAAAAAATAGTAATAAATAAAGTCATGAGCAGGAACCACCAGTGGGCCTGCAATATTTCCATCCCACCTCCTCTCCCACTCTCCTAGAGGACCATTTCATATTTTCCCCTTCTCAAACCTCCCACTCCGTGGCCTCACTCTCCCCTAAAGACTCTGCTTTCTGCTTGGCTGAGAACTTCCCACTAACCCTACCCTTGGTGCCGCCTGTGGCCTCTCAGCCCATGTTCTCTGCCTCCCTCTTGTGTGTAGATGTACTGTCCATGCTTATAGATAAAGCCCTGCTTACACACCAGGTCTTACCCCTTCACACCTACACCCCTGCTCCAGCATTTCTTCCCGCTCTCTCCTACACCGTCCATCTTCCACTCTCTACCTAATCTTTCTATCAGTGTATACCCTTGCTGTTACTTCTTAAAATCTCTCCACGCCCCGTGTCAGCCACAACCCTATTTCTTTGTTTCTTTGCAGCCAAACTCCTTGAAAGTGTTGTCTATATCACTGTCTTCTTCAAGTCTTGCCTCCTGTTCTCTCTACACACACTGCAATCAGGCTTCTATCCATACCACTGTGCTGGAACTGCCCCTGTCAAAGTCACCAGCCCCTCCCGGATGGTAGACCCGGTGCCCAGTTCTTGGTCCTCGTGTGGCTTGCCCGTCAGCAGCACACGACTCCTCATCATAGGTTTCACTCGTCTGACTCTCAGGATACCTGATGCTTGGGCTTTTCCCCTCATTGGGCTGCTTGACTCGTCTTATTCTCTTTTGCTTTTTTCTTCTCTTTAACTTGATGGTGGAGTTCATCCAACAGAGAGGAGAGTCTATCCTCCCTTGGTGACCTCATCTAGTTTCATGGCTTAAATTATGATTTATATGCTAAAGATTCCCAAACTGAAATCCTGGCCTAGACTGTTCTCTGTACTGGTCTGGTATATCTGACTAGCTACTAAACATTTCACTTCAGTATGTCTCCAAGTAAACTCCTGATCTTCCCTCCCTCAGTCGTCTCCCATCTCAGATGAGGGCCACCCTGACCTTCCCTGTACTCGGGCCAAAAACCAGAATCATTCTCTTTTTCTTATACTCTATGCTGTTCTGTCAGAAAACCTACCCAGATTTGAGTTGCCATCTCTGAGTTAACCTGGCCTCTGCTGTCACCCTTGTCCCTGTGGTTTCTTTGTCATGCAGTGGCCAGCGATCCTTTCATTAGGAAGCCAGGTCACGTCCCCTATCTGCTCACAGTCCTTCCATGGCTCCCCGTTTTGCTTTTATAATAAGAGCCCCGGTCCTCACAATGGCCTGAAGTTCCTATGTGATCTGGTGCTCTTTTACCTTTTTCACGTCATCTCCTACTTCCCCTTGTTTATTCTGCCCCAGTTCACTGGCTCCCTTGCTGTTCTGTAGCTGTGCCAGGCACCCTCCTTCCTGGTGTGTTTGCTGGTGCTTCTGGACAGCCCTGGACAGCCACGTGGCTCGTTCTCCACCTCCTCCAGGTCTTTATTCCCTGAGATCCACCATATTTAACACTGCAGCTCACTTTCCCTGCACATGCCTCCCTCCCCAGCAACACTGATTCCTCCTACCTACCCCGCTTTTTCTTCCATAGCCCCGTGCCACCTTCCAAAATAATTCTCCCTGCGATCTTTGTTTTGTTCTTTGTATTTCAAGGACCTATAACAGTACCTGATAGTTGATAGGTATTTTATAAATATTAGTTGCTATTGAATTCTTTTTTGACTTTATTGAAGAATAATTGAAAAATATAATTGTATATGTTTATTTTTTTTTAATTTTAATAATGCATTTTATTTAACCCAATCTATCCGAAATATATATTTTTTGTGTGTGAGGAAGACCAGCCCTGAGCTAACTTGCGATGCCAATCCTCCTCTTTTTTGCTGAGGAAGATCGGCCCTGGGCTAACATCCGTGCCCATCTTCCTCTACTTTATATGGGATGCCGCCACAGCACGGCTTGACAAGCAGTGCATCAGTGCGCGCCCGGGATCTGAACCTGTGAACCCTCGGGCCACCGAAGTGGAGCACGCGCAGTTAACCACTGTGCCACCAGGCCGGCCCCCAATCTATCCAAAATATCATTTCAGCGTGCAATCAATATAAAAATTATGTCTTATTTTTATGTTTTTATGCTCTTAACACATTTTTATTTTTTTATTGCAGTAACGGTATAATTATATATTTAAAGTATACATTGTGATGGTTTGATATACATTGTGGTGTGATTATCAAGATTAAGATAATTAACCATCACCTTACATAGTTAACTCTTTTTTGTGCATGTGGTAAGAATGCTTAAGATCTACTCTTAGCAACTTTCAAGTATACAGTACTGTATCGTCACCATGCTGTATGTTAGCTCCACAGAACTTATTCTTATAACTGGAAGTTTGTATCCTTTGACCTACATCACTCCATTTCCCTCTCCCTCCAGCCCCTGGCTACCACAATTCTATTTTGTTTTTATGAAATTGGCTTTTTTTCTCTTAGGATTCCACATATAAGTGATACCATACAGTATTTGTCTTTTTCTGTCTGGCTTATTTGCCTTTGAATTCTTAACCTATTTAGACTTATATGTACCATTTTAGTATTAATAGGTCTGTTTTCCCACATGGTAAAAATGCTTACCAGTTAGAAATTGCTCATTTATTGATTATACTCCACAATTTTATAAATAGGGAGGCTGATGTTTAGGGAGGTTAATGACCTTATTTCAAGAGCTTTCGAGGCACAGAATGCGGATTTGAGCCTTGCTCTCACCCACATCCCGAGTCCATGCTCTATGTGATATAACACCCCAAGGAAGAGTCCTTTGAGCCCTAGTTTCTTCCGCTGTCCCGTAGGCTACTTTGTTGGCTATTGTGAGGCTTACATGAGAAAGGATGGATGTCAGGTTTTACATGTGTATTCATGAGGTGGTTAGGGTTCTTCACTGCCTTCAGTCTCCTATCGGAGTGGGTTCTCAGGTGGTGGAGAATGCCTTCTTGCTTCTGTCTATAGTCCTTTCCTCAGCTCTCAGCCACTCATAATTTGCCCTACATAAGCTGTGTAGGTGACTAATCTCTCCTTACTTCTGATGTCAATCTTGCTTTCTATTTGTACAGTTGCAAATTGCTTCTAGACATTTCCAGGAGTTTCTTCACTTACGTCATTTAGTTCATCTAAAACAACTTACTTTCTTAAAACCTGTTTCTTCTTATGAATTCCAGAAAGAATCAGTTTTCAGGGCTGATAGTTTTGACTTTGTATCTTTTATTCTTCCCTTTACCTTAGCTCTTCCTTCAATTAGTCATGAATTCCTATTAATTTTTTCTTCACCAGGTATCCCCCATTTATCTCTTTCTTTCTATTTCAGTTACTGTCTGAGTTTATACCTTTATTACCTCATGGCAGTGTTATTGCAGTGAACTCCTTTTTCTCCTGACTTCTGGAATTAATTTTGTTAACGGTATGAGGTAGCCTGAACCCCTATTCCCTTCCTGAAAATCCCAGTGTTATTGAAATGTAATTGACTAAGCCTTCCCTTTTCTACTGTCTGTGGTATTCTGTTGCGTTGATGTGTCTCTTTTCTTCTGTTGCATTGTTGTAATTCTAGTAACTCTCTTTTTTTTGAAAGGCTTTGAAACAGCAGATAGCAGATTTACAGGAAGATTTGAAAAGAAAGGAAGCAAAATGGTCAAGTACACATGGCCGTCTTAGAAGCCAGATAGAAGTATTGGTCAAAGAGAACACAGACCTCCGGGAAGAAATAAAAGTGATGGAAAGATTCCGACTAGATGCCTGGAAGAAAGCAGAAGCTACTGAGAGCAGCACCAGGACAGCCCAGTGTGTGACTGCTGCGAATAAAGATGGATCCATGGTGGGTTTGGAGGCCAGCTGGTTTTGTCAAGTGAGGGGAAGATGTTAAATATTTGAGCAGTCAGATTCATAGAGACAGAAAGTAGAAGGGTGGCTGTCAGGGCTGGGGGAGCGGAGAATGAAGAATTGTTGTTTGATGAGTGTAGAGTTTGAGTTTTGCAAGATGAAAAGAGTCCTGGAGATGGATGATGGTGATGGTAGCACAGTGTGTGAATATATTTAATACCACTAACCTGTACACTTAAAAATGGTTAAATTAAGATGGTAAAATTTTTTTTTTTTTTGGTGAGGAAGATCAGCCCTGAGCTAACATCTGCCAATCCTCCTCTTTTTACTGAGGAAGACTGGCCCTTGGCTAACATCCATGCCCATCTTCCTCCACTTATATGGGACGCCGCCACAGCATGGCTTGCCAGGCGGGGCGTCGGTGCACGCCCGGGATCGGAACCGGTGAACCCCGGGCCGCCACAGTCGAGTGCGCGCACTTAACCGCTTGCGCCACCGGGCTGGCCCCAAGATGGTAAATTTTATGTTACATATATTTTACCACAATAAAAAATGTTTTGAGCATTGCTATACAGGAAGTCTTCAAATTCATTTTTATAATTCTTATAAAGGAATTATGCCACAATAGGCAGATAATCTCAGTTAAAACAGGCCAAGTGAAGTTTTTGCAGAGAGTCACATGTATATGATCCTTTTGAATCAAGTAATTGGTCTTTCATTCATCTGTAGTCACAACTGTGGTGTGCCAGACGCTGTCTTTAGGCACTGGGGATAAAGCAGTGAATATAACAGACCGACTCCCTGCCCTCTTAGAACTTATATTCTCGTGGCAGGAGAAAGACTATAAATAAGATAGATAAAATATGTGGTGTGTGGCATAGTGACAAGAAGTAAGGAGAAAAAGCAAGGAAGTGGAGATAGCTGTTGGAGTTAGGGGTTTTGAGTTTTAGATAGGATGGCCCAGGAAGGCTTTACTGAGAAAGTGACATTTGAATCATGCCCTGAGGAGAGGCACAAATAAGCTAGGCTGAGCCGGGGTGAGGAGCAGAGCAAACAGAGCAGCCCTGAGGCCTGCAGGCTCTCTGCCTGGTGGGCCTGATGATGAGCAAGGCCTGAGGCTGGTGTGGCTGGAGCAGACTAAGTGAGGAGAATACTAGAGGATGATATCAGAGATGTGACAGAGGGTGGTGGGTACAGATTTCATTAGGCCTTAATAGATTCCTGTAAGCACTTGGGCTTTTTCCTCTGAGTGACATGGGGAGCCCTTGGAAGGCTTTGACTGAGGGGTGGCCTAATCCTTTATTTTAGTTAGCTCACTGTCTCTGCTGTAGACTGAAGAATAGACTGAAGAGGGAGTATGGGGATTGTTGCAGTAATTCAGACCAGAAATGATAGTGGCTTAAACTGGGCCTGTGGCAGTGCAGAGTTGAGGAGTGGACAGGATTTACTGATGGACTGGATATGGGGTGTGACAGCAAGAAAGGAGTCAAGAATGGTTTCCAAGTTCAGTACAGTTTTTTGGCCTATTAGAATTTCCATTTATTATGAGGGACCACAAGAAGAGAGCACATACTTCTTGGGGGCGTGGATATTAGAAGCTCAGGTTTAGACAAGATAAGTTTGAGTTGCCTGTTAGACATCAGGTGGAGATGTTAACTGGGCAGTTATACATATATCAGGAGAAGGTCAGTTGGAGCTAGAAGTTTGGGGTCATAGAATGTGTGGTAAAGCTGTGGACTGGGAGAGATCACCAAGGCTGAAAGTGGATAATGAACAGATCCAAGTACTGATCCAGATTGTGAAAAGAAGGGGAATGCGGAGGATAAGCAACCAGCGAGTATGAAGTAAAGGAGGCCAGTGTGGTGTCCTGAGAGCCAAGTAAAGAAAGTACCTCAAGGAGAATAGAGTGGCGAGCGGCGTCAAAGATGCTGCTGAGTAAGATGAGGACTGAAAAGTGGTCATTGGGTTTACCAAGCAGAGATGTGCTGAAGACAAAAGCCTGTCTGGATAAGAGAATGGGAGGTTTCAGACAGAGTGTAAGAACTTTGTGGAGAAGTTGTGCAGTAAATGTAAGGAGGTGGGGTAGTGGCTGTAGGGGAAGGTTTTTTTTCTAAGATGGGAAAATTAACAACTATTTGTGTATTGGTAGAATTGATTTAGTAGAGAGGAAAATATCGACACAGGAGAAAGTGAGAGAGTTGTGGAAGCAATGTTCACGAATGAGAGAAGATGGGATTTAGGGAATGAATGAAGGAGCTGGCCTTGGCCAGGAGCACGAACAGTTCATGCCTAATAACAGAAGGTCTAAGGTATGGGCTCTGGGCTAGAGGTGTGGTGCCAGTTGGTAGGAAGTTCCCTCCTAAGGCTTTAACTTTCTCAGTGAAGTGGAAAGCACAGTCATCAGCTGAGAGTGAGGATGGAGAAGGAGTTGTAGGAGGGTTGAGGAGATGGGAGAAAGTGTGAAATAGTTGTCTAAGAGAGTGGAAAGCAAAGGGACTGGGGAAGTGTAGTGTGGTTCTTGGGGTGCATTGGGAGCCCATGTAGGTTAGAGACCATATATTTCAAGTGAGAATTGTTGACATTAATTTTTTCTTATTCAGCTTTTTGGGTGTAGGGTGGTGAAGAGTTATAGTTTAGAAGAGGTGTGGTCATCCAGGTGACCAGAGAGTAAGAGAGGGCCATGGAAATAGACTGAAATAATAGACTGAAAACTCCTGTGGATCAATGAATTGTAGGACCCTGTCGGCTGTAAGCGTTGTTGTAGTCAGAGGAGTGAGCTGGAAGGACAGGATATGGTAGTCAGAAAGTAGAATTCTCTCCCCCTCCCCAAACATTTTATTATGAATCTTCCCCAAATAGACAAATTTGAAAGAATAGTACAATGAACACCTGAATACTCACCTAGATTCAACCACTGTTAACATTTTGCCATATTTGTGTATGTGTAGTTTGCTGAACCATTTGAAGGTAATTGCAGAAATCATGGCATCTCACCCCTAAATACTTCAGCATTTTATTAAATGACATTGGATTTTTGAATAGACCAGGCTAGTAACTTTGTAGAATGCTCCGCATTCTGGATTTGAATGCTTTGAAATTAGGGTTATTGATAATTGCGGGTATTGATAATGACTAGTTCCAGAGTTTGCGCATTGGAGTGCATGGCTGAGGTAGGATCGAGTACAAATTGGAGGAGGAGTAGGTCAAGAAACGGAAGTGAAGGCATTGCAGTATCATCTCCTGGCAAGGAGGGTACATGGTGGGTGACATGAGACTCCGAGCTGGGGTGGGGTGGTTAGGGAGGAGAGAAAGAGGTTTGGTTTGGAAGCAGTGGTGGGGAGCAAGGAGGACATCTGCCCTACCTCTAAACCTACGGGTGTGATCTCTGAAGGCGAGAAACTTCCATCCCTGGAAGTGGACAGTTTTGAGCAATCTTCTCAGCAGGAGCTAGGACTCAGTTAGAGTGTTGGAGCAAGATGATGAGGGACGTGTTCACAGGTTGAGATTAGGAGGTTTTTGTTGATGTTGACCATGAGTTCCTGCCCTCTCCTCTGGCTAATCTGGTCACAGTCAGAGAAAACTGTTTTGTTTTACGTTGTCTGTTATGCCGTCACTTGAAGAATGAATGTATTTCCAAAGGTGGTGTGTGTTTGTGTGTAGTTCATTCCTAGATAATAGCTTGTTCACTGTTGCTTATAATGATAAATGAAAACAACATGAATGAACAGACTTACAGCATTCTCATTGCAAGCTGAGTTCTGTTAGTTTCATTCGTTGTGCTAATATAGACTAATGCTAATTTTATATTCAAAATTATCTCATATTATAGAATTCATCAGTCCGATTTCAAAAGAGTCAAATTTCTGCAGGAATCCAGGTAGAAAAATACAAGAGAAGTTATTTACCAACACAAGGTAAGAAGTTGCATGATCTTTTTATAAAATATTTCAGGAATTTAGAGAGTAGAGAATTTATACCCAATTGAAGAAACAAAACATTGTAAATATAATTGAAGCCCCTCTGTATCCTACTCCCCAAGTTTTTCCCCTTGACAGCATTCCCATTCTTGTTTTTCATTCTTTTCATACATTGTGTCCATAAATCAATATAGTATTACTTCATACTGTATGTATCCCTCTGCAATTTGCTTTTTTCTCAGTATTTTAAGACTTACCTTCATTAATACGTATAAACTATGTATTGATTTTAATAGCTGTACAGATTTTGTGTATATTTGCCAGTGTTAAGTTTTCCTGTTGATGGGTATTCAGGTTCTTTCGCAGTTTGTCAACGAGAATGAACAGGGCTGCTTAGCATGTCTTGATCTTAGGAGTTTCTCAAGGGTGTATATCAAGAGTAGGATGCTGAGTCATATTAGGTTTGTGCAACTTTAGGAGGTTTTCCCTTTGTTCTGCAAAGTGGTTTTACCAGGTTTTTACCATCAGCAGAATATGCTCTTTGTGCTTGCCAACACTTGATCTGGTCAGACTGTAAAAGTTTGGCAAATCAGATGGGTATGAAATGGTGGATTAGTATAATTTTAAAATGGTATTTCCCTGATTACTGGTAAGGTCATGGGAACATCTTCTCGTATATTTAGCGGGCATTTGGGTTTCCTCTTTTGTGAATTGCCTGTTCATTTCTTTTGACCAATTAAAACTTTGGGTATGTGTGGGTGTTTCTCCTTATTGAAATTAATTATTCTGCAAACTAATCCATTGTCAGTTACAAGCACTGCCAATATTTTCTCCAAATCTGTGTTTAACTTTTGATTTGTGTTTTTTGTATACATGTTTTTTCCTTTTTTTTTTTTTTTTTTTTAAAGTTTTTTTTTATTTTGTTTTTTCCCCCCAAAGCCCCAGCAGATAGTTGCATGTCATAGCTGCACATCCTTCTAGTTGCTGTATGTGGGACTCGGCCTCAGGATGGACGGAGAAGTGGTGCCTCGATGCGCACCCGGGATCCGAACCCGGGCCGCCAGCATTGCAGCGCGCGCACTTAACCACCAAGCCACGGGGCCGGCCCCATGTTTTTTCCTTTTAATATTGAATTTGTCAATCTTTTTTATGTTTTGTGCTTTTCATGACTTTAAGAAATCCTCAATCTTTAGAGCACAAATATGCTATTTTCTCCTATGAACTTTTGTTTTTACAACTGGGTCTTTAATCTACCTGGAATTTTTAGAAATTATTTTTGTGAATTAAATTTAGAAAAGTAGATATAACATATGCAATTTGATAATTATAAAGGAAATACTTGAATAACTACCACCTAGATAAAGCAATAGATGAGCAGCCCCTGGAACTGCCTCCTCCATGATCATATTACATTGCTTTTCCTTGTAGTTTCTACTCTCATAGGTGCAGTTGCCACCGTAAAAAATGTTTTACTTGTTTTTGAGCTTTCTGAATAGAGTCATACTATATGTATTCTGTTGTCTTCTTTCATTATACATTATTTTTGAGATTTAATCATGTTGATCTGTAGCTCTAGTACACTAATTTTCACTAATTTCATAAATTCCATTTATGCATACATTACAATTTGCTATTCTTCTGTTGATAGTTAATTTTTCTTTAAGTTTTGGGATGTTAAACAATGATGCTGTGAACATTCTTATACATTTCTGGTACACACATTCATTTCTCTAGGGCATATACCTAGGGCTGAAATTACTGGGTAATTGGCAGGAATATTATTATACTAATAGATTTTGCCAAAATAGTTTCCAAAATGATTTTGTTCTCTCACCAGCAGTGTAAGTACTTGCTTTGCTCCACATCTTGTTAACACTTGGTGTTGTCAGACTTAAATTTTTGCCAGTCTGGTAGGAGTGTAACAGTATCTCATTATAGTTTTAATTTGCATCACCTTGATTATTAACTATGTTGAACACCTTTGCCTATATTTATTAGTTATTTAGATTCCCTCTTTGAGAAGAAGTTGTTCAGGTCTTTTATTCATTATTCTGTGGAGATAGCTGTCTTTTTCTTTGTTGATTTGTGGGAGGGTCCCCTCCATCATAATCCTTTAACAGTTATGTGTATTGCAAATATCATCTCCCAGTCTATGGTTTGTCTTTACCCTGTATGGTATCTTTTGTTGAACCAAAATTCTTTATCTTTTTTTAATTGAAATATATATGACATATAACATTGTGTAAATTTAAGGTATACAGCATGTTGATTTGATACATTTATATATTATAATATGATTGCCAGTGTAGTGATAATTAGCACCTCTATCACGTCACATAATTATCATTTCTTTTTAGTGGTTGGAGTAATTAAGATCTAGTCTCTTAGTAAGTTTGATGATTATAATACAATTTTGTTGTCTGTATTCACTATACTGTGCATTAGATTTCTAGGACTTATTTACTACTCGTTGCAAGTTTGTACCCTTAAACACCATCTTTCCTATCTCCCAACCCTCTAACCCTTGATAACCACCATTTTGCTCTCCGTTTTTATGAGTTTGGCCTTTTCAGATTCCACATATAAGTGATGTCATACAGTATTTGTCTTTCTCTGTCTGACTTATCTCAGCATAATATTCTCAAGGTCCATCCATGTTGTCACAAATGGCAGGATGTCCTTTTGTCTCATGGCTGAATAATATTCCATTGTGTGTATACATATATATATATATATATATATACACACCATATTTTCTTTATCCATTCATTTGTTGATGGGCACTCAGGTTATTTCTGTATCTTGGCTATTGTGAATAATGCTGCAGTAAATGTGAGAGTGCATATATCTCTTCAATATCCTGTTTTCATTTCCTTTGCGTAAATACCCAGAAGTGGAATTGCTGGATCATATGGTAGATCTATTTTTAATTTTTTGAGGAACTTCCGTATTTTCCATAGTGGTTGAACCAATTTACATTCCCACCAACAGTGTAACAGTGTACAAGGATTCCCTTTCCTCCACATCCTGGTCAGTACTTGGTATCTCTTGTCTTTTTTTTTTTTTTTTTTTTTTTGTTTTAATGGTTTCTAACATTGTGAAATTTTTTTTTTTTTTTTTTTTTTTGGTGAGGAAGATTGGCCATGAGCTAACAACCGTTGCCAGTCCTCCTCTTTTTGCTTGAGAAAGATTGGCCCTGAGCTAACATCTGTGCCAGTCTTCCCCTGTTTTCTATGTGGGTTGCTGCCACAGTATAGCTTGATGAGTGGTGTAGGTCCGTGCCTGGGATCCCAACCTGCGAACCCCAGGCCACCGAAGCAGAGTGCACCGAACTTAACCTCTATGCTGCTGGGCTGGCCCTCTCTTGTCTTCTTGATGATAGCCATTTCTAACAGGTGTGAGGTGATATATCATTGTGGTTTTGATTTGCATTTCCCTGATGATTACTCATGTTGAGCATCTATTCATGTATCTGATGGCCATTTGGATGTCTTCTTTGGAAAAATGTTTATTTTGTTCCTCTGCCCATTTTTTAATGGGATTGTTTGTTTTTTTTTAAATTTTCTTTATATAATTTTTTTTTTCTTTTTTTGCTGAGGAAGATTGGCCCTGGGCTAACATCTCTGCCCATCTTCCTCTACTTTATATATGGGATGCCACCACAGCATGGCTTGATATGGGTCTGCGCCCAGGATCTGAATCTGTGAATGCTGGGCTGCCAAAGCAGAGTGCGTGAACTTAACCATTACACCACTGGGCTGGCCCCCTAGTTCTTTGTATAACTTGAATATTAACTCATCTGATAATATGGTTTGTGAAAATTTTCTCCCATTCTTAGGTTGCCTTTTCATTTTTTTGATTGTTTTTTTTGCTATGCAGAAGCTTTTAAGTTTGATGAATTTTGATTTGTTGATTTTTGCTTTTGTTGCTTGTGGTTTTGGTGTCACATCCAAGAAGTTGTTGCCAAGACTGATGTTGAGGAGCTTCTTCCCTATGTTTTCTACCAGAAGTTTTATGGTGTCAGGTCTTATATTTAAGTCTTTGATACATTTCGAGTTAATTTTTATGAGTGGTACAAGATAAGGGTCCAATTTTATTTTTCTGCATGTGTTTATCCAGTTTTTGCAACATCATTTGTTGAAGAGAGACTGTCCTTTCCCCATTGGGCATTCTTGCCTCACTTGTTATATATTAGTTGACCATATATGTGGGGGGTTAATTCTGGGCTATTCTGTTCCATGGGTCTATGTGTCTGTTTTCATGCCAGTACCATGCTGTTTTAATTACTATAGCTTTGTAGTAGAGTTTCAAGTCAAGAATTGTGATGCCTCCGGCTTTGTTCTTTTTTCTCAGGATTGCTTTGGCTATTTGAGGTCTTTTGTGGTTCCATACAAATTTTAGGATTGTTTTTTCTAGTTCTGTTTCCATTGGAATTTTGATAGGGATTGGGTTCAATCTATAGATGGCTTTGGATAGCATGAACATTTTAACAATATTAATTTTTACCGTCCATGAACACAAGATGTCTTTCTATTTCTTTGTCTTTGATTTCTTTCAACAAAGTTTTGTAGTTTTCATTGTACACATCTTTCATTTCCTTGGTTAAGTTTATTTCTAGGTATTTTATTGTTTTTCTTGCTATTGTGAATGGGATAGTTTTCTTTATTTCTTTTTCAGATGTTCCATTATTAGTATATAGAAGTGCAACTGATTTCTGTATGTTGATTTTATTTCCTGCAACTTTACTCAATTCATTGATTAGTTCTAACAATTTTTTTTATTTAGTCTTTGGGATTTTCTATATATAAAATTGTATCATCAGCAAAAAATGACAGTTTTACTGCTTCCTTTCCAATTTGGGTGCCTTTTATTTCTTTGTCTTGCCTAATTGCTCCAAGTAGAATTTCTAGGACTATATTGAATAGGAGTGGTGAGAGTGGACATCCTTTGTCTTGTTCCTGATCATAGAGGAAAAGCTTTCAATTTTTCACCATTGA